CAATTTATCTTGTATGACAATTAAATTTATATATTATTTCATATTTAAATTATATTATATTATTTATTTATTTTATACAATGTAAAATTTTTGTGCATACAAAGTTTAAACAGCTGGTATATCTGTTCAGAGGGTTTTGACGATGCAGTGGAGGAACGTATTATTAATGAAGAATACAAAATATGGAAGAAAAACACACCGTTTCTGTACGATCTTGTGATGACACATGCTCTGGAATGGCCTTCTTTGACGGCCCAATGGCTGCCAGATGTCACTCGGCCAGAAGGGAAGGATTATTCAGTCCACAGATTGATTCTTGGTACTCATACTTCGGATGAACAGAATCATTTGCTCATCGCCAGTGTTCAGCTACCGAATGAAGATGCGCAATTTGATGCTTCTCATTACGACAATGAGAAGGGCGAGTTTGGTGGATTCGGTTCCGTTAGCGGCAAAATTGAAATTGAGATAAAGATTAATCATGAGGGTGAGGTCAACAGAGCGCGATACATGCCGCAGAATCCATGTGTAATTGCAACAAAGACTCCTTCAAGTGATGTGCTTGTATTCGATTATACCAAACATCCAAGTAAACCGGATCCCAATGGAGAATGTCACCCAGATTTGAGGTATTTGCATGATTTGTCAAACATATGATATAAATGTAGACAGAGAGTATCAATATACTCTTATTATTATAATTATATTTACATGTTTATTGCTACAATTGTAATCATACATATAGATTACGAGGACATCAAAAGGAAGGTTATGGGCTTTCATGGAATCCAAATCTCAATGGATATTTGCTTAGTGCGTCTGACGATCATACTATCTGCCTATGGGATATCAATGCCACACCGAAGGAGAATCGCGTTATCGACGCGAAAACTATCTTCACAGGACACACAGCTGTGGTCGAAGATGTAGCTTGGCATTTATTACATGAATCATTATTTGGCTCGGTCGCTGATGATCAAAAGCTCATGATCTGGGATACTAGGTGATTATCTTTACATTACATTAATAATATATAATTGTAATAAATATTCTATAAGAAAGTTCAAGTTTGAAAAAGAAGAATATTCGTAAAATATTTTAATTTAACTTAAAAAGAAACACGCATTTTAAGAAAATTACATATGAACAATATTCTATTAATATCTATAAAGTCAACATTCTGTTAATATGATTAACATTAATGCTGTTAAAATTGCAACCATTTAATAATATACATTATATCGCTAAATTCTGATGTGTATAGATGCAACAACACTAGTAAACCAAGCCACACTGTTGATGCTCACACTGCTGAAGTGAATTGTCTCAGTTTCAACCCATATTCTGAATTTATATTGGCTACTGGCAGCGCAGACAAAACTGTAGCACTTTGGGACTTGCGAAATCTAAAGCTGAAGTTACATTCGTTTGAATCACACAAAGACGAGATCTTCCAGGTTCAATGGTCGCCACATAACGAAACAATATTAGCGAGCAGCGGCACAGATAGACGATTGCATGTTTGGGATCTTAGCAAGATCGGTGAAGAGCAATCCAGCGAGGACGCTGAAGATGGACCACCTGAACTACTGGTAATAATGAGGATTTAATTGACGAATAAAAAAATTATTAATTATGAAAGAGAATTTTTTAACAAAAGAATATACAAATATTTACTACTTTATTTTCCTAATTCAAATATTTATAATTATTTGATTTTTCTTTTGGAATTTTTAATTAAGAATTTAAATATTTTTTGCAGTTCATACACGGAGGTCATACCGCGAAGATTAGTGATTTTTCATGGAATCCGAATGAACCATGGGTTATATGTTCGGTGTCAGAGGATAATATAATGCAAGTATGGCAAATGGCAGAAAATATCTACAACGATGAAGAACCCGAGACACCGGGCAGCGAAATCGAGACTGGCGGTTCATAACGCGGAATTTAATTCATCGAATCGGTTTAAGCCGTTTTCGTCGATTGAGGATTATAAGCGCAGCTACAATTGCGCGTCATGTTGTTAAATCTTTTGATATAACAACTGACCCTGATGACAGCGCAGATTTCTTTCCATCGAGAAATAATAATCCTCGCTTTTAATTGATCGATTATGTAAACTATGCGAAAAGTGTTGTAATTAAGAAGAAAAAAAATCTATCATCGAAGTTTCAGAAGTTTCATGAATGCATCTTGGATAGATAGCATAAACAATTGACATTTCATCGCATTTGACTAAACAGATTTATATCTCCTCGAATGGCATGTGCGAATAGCGAGTATTATTGTTTCGCGGTGACGACTTGGCTATGTTATAAATAACAGAATAAACTAGCTAGAACAACTGCTAGTTACACCCGTTACGAGTCATCTTTTTGTATGAAGGCACTATTTCTTTGTCGCAGAGGAGAAAGCTCAAATAAGATTAGGACATGCCAAGTACTTTTTCTACTTCGTTTTAAGCGTGAATAATAAAGGAATGACCCAAATTCGAATGATGCTTAGTTCAACTTGCGCTTTTCCCAATTTCCTTTATTATCTTTTTGTTATGACTTTTTCCCACTATAATCCTCTCACAGTAATTTAAAATAATTATAAATATAAAAGAAAAAAAAAAAAAACAAGAAAACTTAGACATTGTAATAGGTGGGAATTGTTAGCTCTTTCCTTAGAATTATTGCAATAACTAGAAGAGTAATTATTTTTAACAGTTTACAATTTTTTTTTTATATGGATCGAATAAACATGTTGAATACAAAGAAAGCACGCAAATCAATTTTACATCATCACTGTACAAATCTCTTTAAACAAGCACTTTAATAAAATTAGCGATTATATAATATAATTATTTTCTTGGCACTTTGCAAGTATGTATAATAGGAAGTGCATTCTTATTCAAGATAAAATATACATATACATATATATGTGTAGACTTTGTTCCCACATTATAAAGCTGTTTGTGAAAGCTCGTTGTATATCTGCGTGAGTAAGGAGTCATCGTATTCAAAGCTGTTCAGTGATATAGCATCCTTGTTGTCAATATTCATAATTCTGAAAAAAAAGAATAGAGCGCTTACATTAAATGCTTCTTCAATCTTGTATTTATTATAATCAGCGCAATTAATTGATTATTCATTACCAAAATCTGCGCGTTAAATGGACATCGCTTATAGAGCGTGTCTTATGCCAGCTGTGCATGCAAAATAAATTATTTGCAACACCAATGATTATTTGTGAAGAGGAATTCATATAAATATACACAAGTAGAATTTTATATATTTAATAATTATTTTAACATAATTAATTTAATATTATTAATTCAATCTGTTATATATATATAT